CCTGGAATGGTCTCTGCCTCCACGCAGGGGGCTCTGATTCTGGCTGTCCATTAGAATCTCCAGGGTAGCTTATTAAAAATACATCTATCTAGACCTCAACCCTAGACTTTGACCCTAACGGCCTTCAAAGGCCTTTCCTCCTCCAACTTTCCCATGAATCTGTCCTTCTCATTCTTCAAACCATCTCAGATGCCAGCTGTCCAGGAAGTCTTCTGATGAGCCCTGTTTGACTCTCAATAACTCCACTCAACATGAAAAGTGGCTGCTGCAAACCAGTCTACATCCTGCGGGGGCTCTTGCTGCTTTGTGAGTAAAGAGAAACTTGTACCAGACCTAGTTCCCCCTGGTGCCACCCCTTGCCCCTGGATTCCTTCCCCTTGTCCCACTCTCAGGAATGTCCCAGCCCTTGAGCATGTTTCATACTTGCTTTCTGATGGGCCGGCTGGGCTAAACCTTAGTTTCTTCTCTAGGTTTTAGTTCTGTTTGTGCAGAATGGATGTTGAACTAGAAGAGTCCTTTGAAAACAACTAACATAGGATAGTAAATTCTCAAGGCTGCCTGGAATCTCTGTCTAGAGAACTTCTACTCATCCTTCAAGGCCCAGGTGAAGTGTCACCTAAGACCTTCCCAAACAAAAATCATCCAGTACTCTGCTACGGCCTGGGGCCCACGTGGCACTGGCTGTTGTGGGATCTGGGATCCCTGGGGTTTTGAATTCCTTGAAAGCAAGAACTTTTGTGGTGACTATCACAGCATTGCACACTGCCTGGCCCAGAGCAGTCAAAAATCTGAAATACATGAATGAATAAATGAATCCCTCAATTCCTTGAACTTATTCCCTTAACCTATAGTCAGGAAGGGGTAGAGTAAGGGGAGGGAGAGAAAGGCCCCCAGTGGTCTCCAGAGACGGGGGTCCAGGCATTTTAGTCTTGGGCCCACCAGTTGAGACTGGGCAAAGGTTGGGGACCTTAGCCACTCAGGCAGGGCTGCCTCCAGGCCATCTGGTTTTTGGTCCCTTGCTCTGCAGGTAGTGGAGTGTGTATTTGTGGCTTGGGCAGGAGTGACAGCCTAAGTAGCAGAAAGTTCTCCTAAGCCTGACTTGTCTAGAAGACTGAGAGTGTCCTGGACTCTCAATGTCCTGGGGGCGGGGATGTCTGTAAGGGGACCTGGGCCCGCTGGAATCTGAAGGAAGGGCCTGGGTCTGGCTTCTCCAGCCCAAAGCTCCACCTAGAGAGGTTGAGCCTGGGACTAATTGGCTTGCCTTCCTTCCGCTGCCGCTGCCGTAGAAAGTCCTGGCTAATTTGCCGGAACGCTCTAGTTAAATGGCAATTAGGATGTTCTGTCCACTGCTCTCTTCCAATATATTAATAATGTAATTAAGCATTTATTGCCTGCACAAATTAAAAATTAACTTAAATGGACAGCCTGGAAAACTGAGGAAGTGACCGCTTAAACAAGCAATTTGCATCTCATCCGAATATCAACACCTAAGTACAACCCCTGCTAGGGTGCCGGATTTGGTCTTTTCCAATACCAGTGAGGGGCCCAGCCAGCTGCCAACAGCTGCTGGCTTCTCCTTCATGCCTGTTTCTGCCCACCCTGCCTGTCCACCCTGCCTGAATCCGAGGTATGGAGAACAGTAGTCTTGTAGTCTCACCCGCAGATGGGCAGCGGGGTTTTGCTATGCAGCCACCTTGGCTTTTATCATCCCTACCTCCTTTCTCAGGGATCCCTGATACTGATTTCAGTGGAAGGAGATGCTACTGGGGTTGCTGGGAGAGGGCAGTCCCAGAAGCCCCCACCACTCCCAGCCCCAGGATCAATTTGTCCTGCATTCCAGCCCATGAGATGGGAAGCAGATGGTGCTGGGGAGGGGGGGAGGAGGTAACCCAGGAACAAGGAGACTTCCCTCCAAACAGCCCCCTGGAGAGACATGGGGTGGGGGCTGGGTCTCAGGGAGAGCTTGCAGGGGATGGGGCTGGACAGTGCCTTCCAAACACAAAACGAAAGGATAAATCTCCCATCTCTCCTGTCTCCAGGGATCTGTCTAACACAGCAGGTGTGACATTGTTGGTTTTCTTTTCCAAACAGCCACAGGAGGGGACTTGGCAAGGAGAGGTAGGACAGCAGGGAGTGGGGGACAAAGGGAACTGGAGAGCTCAGCAGCTCTGGGGCAGGAGGGGCCTGAACCCCTCAGAAGGGCTCCAGCCAGCCCAGGGCCCTCCGTCTCTGCTGGTCCAACCCCAGCCCTCCCAGGCCCCTTCCTGGAGGCTCCCTCCTGAGTCTGCAGGTGCCAGCCCCTTCCTGTCCATGCTGCTGTTGGGTGTCACGGTCCTCCCACTGTCGGAAGGTCGTTCCCTAGCAGCCTGGGAAGAGTCTCCCACGGCCCCTGTGAGATGTTGAGGTGGGGCTCTGTCCCCTCACTCTCCTGTGCTCCCTCCAGCTGTGCCCCATCCCCACCCCCACTGCCATGAGGAAGGGCTGAGTCAGGGAGATGAGAAGAGTGAGGCAAACGGGCTTGTTTTCTTAACACTTTATTTATAAAAAAGTACATTTTTTTTCCTCAGTACATTTTTCAACCCATCATTTTTTTTTTTAATACAAGTAAAAGGGGGCAATGCAAACACCCCCCCAGGTCAGAACCAGGAGAATCTGCTGGGCTGTCCCCAGGACCAAAGGCGAAAGGGTGACGAAGAAACTGAAGCAAAGGTAGCATATCACACTCAGAGGTGAGGATGGCAGCTTCTCCTGGGTTGTTTCCATTTATACAAAAAGAGAAAACCAATGTTTTCAGCCAAGAGTCCCATTCCTCACAGCAGGGGTCAGAAGAGCAGCAGCACCAGGTGGGCAGGGCTCCTCTGGCCTTGCAGGCAGGACGGTGGTGGCAGTGGCAGCTTCCAGGAGCTCTCACTGCCTGGGTCACAGCAGAGGGCCTGCTTCCAGGTGTCCCTGGCACTGGGCAGTTTGTGAAGTCTCCCTGTGGGTGTGGGGGACTGGGAGAGGCCCACGAGTCCCTCACTGGAGGACGGTTTTTTGTTGGCAGTCAGGCTTGGGAGGTCTCTATCTGGACTCCGAGGCCTGAGAGCACTGCCCTCCTCCCAGGAGAGGGGACACTTGTGTCTGCTTGGCTCAGCCAGCTGCCCACACCCACCTAACACAATTTCCGATCCTCTGCTTTGAGGATAGCAGAAAAGTTATTGCACCAGTGAGTTGGGCACATGGGGTGGAGGGTGGCTGGCAGAGGGGGCACATGCCCAGGAGAGGGGCCCTTGTGAGACGCTATGGCCCAAGCACTGGGAAGTGACTATTTCTCCTCAAGGGCTTTCGGCTGGATAAGCCCATTCCTCTACCACATCTGTGCTGAGTGCCCGTCTGGCTGTGCACACACACCTGTTCTTGGGTGTACTGGAGGTGTGTGTGCCTACACATGTGCCGGGCCTGAGGGGGTGGCACTGCAGCCTGTGTTCACCTCGTCTGTGCTGCTGCTTTTCAGACCCTTCTGATAAGAGGGGACTCAGACGGTTCTGTTACACATTAGAACGATATCAAAATCTGTAAGGAAACAGGGGTGGAGGTGGAGTGGGGGTACGAGGACAGAGAGGGCAACGAGAGGCAGGGTGACAACTGGGGAGGCCTTGGCACAATTCATACCAAGTCTATTTCATTTCCAGCAAAACCGAATCTCAGCTCGTGCTGGGGGCAGGAAGGAGAAGCAAAAGGTCCTCATCGCTCTGCTGGGCCAGACCTCCCCTGCCAGCTGGCTGTATCTGCAGGCCCAGCAGCAGTGCCCACCTTCTCACAAACTTGGGGCCCAGAAATGCCTCCTATCTAAACCCAGTGCCACCCCTGCCTCATGCCCACACTGGGCCCAGAGCAGCACCTACCTGACGTGGTCTGTGGCTGGGCTCCTGGCAAGGCAGGACCTCCTACATGGCCCATTCTACATGGACCCCAAAATTTGTGCTTTGCTTGTGGGGAGGGTGTGGAGGTGTCTTAGGGGGACTCAGTGCTTTGGCTGGGCCTGGGGCCTTCGAAGTCCATCACAAAATGAGGAACAGGGGGTGGCAGTGCAGGAGGAGCAGTGGACAGGGAATGCCTCCATCAGGCGGCCCCTTGGAGTGCCCCCTGCCTTGAGGGGAGGACCAAGCAGAGGGGCCAGAGTGGTGTGAGGTGGGATGGGGCAATGATGGAATGTGAAAAAGGTCCCCTGCCCTGGGGGGACACTAATACTGCTGGGAGAAGCAGCCCAGCTCCTCCACTTTCCTCTACCCTGTGGCTAGAAAGACCCCAGAATTTTCTCCCCTAACTCCACCCCTTCCAGTACCTCCAGTGCCTAGAGGGGAGAGCCGCCCCAGGGCTGGCATGGCTTCAGACTTCTGCTACATGGCTACTGGGAGGCCTGGGCTAGGGTCAGGGCAGTGAGGCCAGGTGAGGGAGACCCAGCTGGTGGGCCCAGGGTTGCCAAGGCAGAGATGGAGCTGGCTGGGGAAATAGCAGCACCAGGGAGGGGAGATGGGGGGCTGTGGGGCTCCCTTAGGAAGCCTATGGCGGGTAGGGCAGTGCCCGTGGGGCACAGAGAGGGCTGCCTCCCTCCCCCCAACACTTGCCATCCTATAGAGCCCCTGACGGCCTGGGCCAGGTTAGCTGGGATCTTAACAGGCAGGCATGATGGCCCTTGGGATTGCCTCTCCCAGCCCAGGGTCCTTCCCACGAGCATGCCTGTCTAGAGTGCCAGGGGGTACTGGGGGGCAGATGGAGGAACTGAGGCACTTTGAGCTGGGGGACTTGGGGCTGGGAGGGGTCTTCCTCCATTATATACACAGGAAGACCCAATCTTGGTGGCTGACAGGAACCCAGTGTCCCATTCAAGGAGGGAATCTGCACAAAAGGGAGAGCTTCTCCCAGGTCCTCCCCTCATGCCAGAACAGGTCCCAGGGATGGTGAAGCAGGGAGTGGAGAGTGGGCGGGCAGGTCCCTAACCCTAACCCCCTCCCCCCACCCCCATTCCCGCTGCCAGGCCTGAGACCTGAGGCTTCTACATCGGCCTTCAGTGTGGCCTTATCTGGACTCCTCACCCTATCAGGCTACCTTCTCCATTGTTCCCGCACAGGAACTTCTTCACCTCCTGGAGGTAATTCCCTTCTGGGATCCCAGCTCTGACTATCTGAGAGCCAAGAGTGGCCAACACTTGATAGATAAGGGGGAAATCAGCAACTTCTGTGTTGTAAGAAGTCGTCTGGGGCTGGTCTGAGATTCTATGGTGGAGGCACCGGGGTGCCTAGTATCAGCTGACTCTGGAAGCTTCTACAGGCAGCCCCCATCCTCAGCTGGTAAGGGGGGAGAGGCAGGGCAGAGAGGGGTGGGCTGTGGACAGTGTCCACACTGGATAGGGTGTGTGGCCCCAGGGGAGAGCGGGGCGGAGAGGAGCAGTGTGTGTGCAGGTGTGCATGTGTGTGTGTGTTGGCAGAGGCATGGAAGTGGGGGCCAGCATCCACCTGGAGCCCCACTGTGTGGGGAGCAGACAGGGTAGAGGAGGGGCGATCAGAGCTGGGCCAACTCCATCCTCTGTAGGCCAATGAGGAAAAAAAATGTAAAACCAACCTCACCAGGAAAACCCTGCCCAAGGCTCCACTTAACAAACAAGACTCCTCTGGGTGCTTGGGAGAAGCCACCCCCCCTTTCCTACTTCTCAGGTGCACTGGCTGTCTAGATTGGGGTCCAAACTCCCAGCCAGGGCAGCTCCCCTGGGGGTAGCGGTCCCTCTCCCTTTCAGTGGAGGAGGAGCAGCATCTGGGGGTGGGGCAGGGCTTCTCCTCTGGAGCCCCTGCAGCCCTCCACCCGCAATGAAGAGAACGCAAACAAATTCCAGTGTTGGGGGCCAGGGGAGGCTAGTTCCCCAAACCCTGGAGGGACACCCAGGTACACAGGACAAGAACAGGGCTCCCTACACGAAGGGCAGGCGGGTGGGGCCGGTTAAGGGAGGGTACAGCAACACTAGAGCCACAGTTGAACACAACACCACAGGGAAGGGCAGGGAGAGGGAGGAAATAAAAAACAAAGCCAAGTCGCCTCTGCCCTGGGCTCCCCTGGCCCCCGGGTTTGGGTCTGGCTTTGTGCAGCTGGGTGAGTCTCTGCTGAGCTCCTGGAGAGGGTGGGCAGGGGGCGTGCGGGCAGGCAGGGGCTGGGGAGAAGTGGGCACAGACAGAAGCTCTAGAAGGGGGGGCTAGACGTACCACTCCTTCTTGGAAATGAAAGACCCGTCGTTCTGAGAAACCATGTTCTCAGCCAAGTCCAGCTGCTCGGGGTCGTACGGGTAGCCCAGAGTCCGGTCCCCATAGCCATCCTGACGGGCCTCTGCCTCATCCACGGTGAAGTAGGGGGGCTTAGTGTCCTTGTCGTACTTGGGGTGGGGGCCCCCCACCTTGCGTTCGCCCCCTCCGCTGCCTTCCTCCTCTTCTTCCTCCTCGTAGCTGCTCCCACCCAGCGGGCCGGCCTTTTTCTCATCGTCCGAGTCATCCGGGTACTGCAGGTTCTGCGCCATGGGCGGGTGGTGCTGGGGGATGCCCGCCTTGCTGTAGCCGTTGCCATACACGTGCTTCTTGGTGCTGTAGTCACCCTTGAAGGTGTGCCGGCGCCGGCGTAGGGCCACCACGATCCCGCCGACCACAATCAGCACCAGCAGGACGCTCCCCGCCACGCCCCCAATGATGGCCGTGGGCACCGGCCCAGCGCGCCGCCCAGGTTCGGGAGGAGACGGGGTGTAGGGGAATTCTGGGTGAGGAAAAGAGATGGAGGGGACAGTGTCAGCGTGTGCTCCTGGGGCACTGATAGGGCTGGAGGGAGGGGAGAGGTAGGGAAGGGAGAAGTTGGGAAGGATAGGCTGTCTGCACCCCAGGTTTTAGCAGGTCCAGTTCCAAAGGCCGCTTGGCACCCCACTCTGCTGGGACCCAACTGTGCTGCAGTGTGGCTGGCAGTAGCAGGACAAGCCAGAGGGGAGAGGCAGAGCCACCAGGGCCTTCCATCCTGACTGTCCCTGAGTGTGGTGCTAGCGCAGCTCAGTCCCTAGTCGTGCAGAGAGGCCATCACACCTCTGCATGGCATCCATGGCAGGCCATATGCTGTCAACAGCCCTGTGGAGTAGGCACGATGTTCACTTCCATTTAATACATGTAGGGTTGATTTTCTTACAGGTAAAGCCTTCGAAGTTGTCCCTGGTGCCCCTCTGCCTAACAACTGGTAGTGTCCCCAAACCAGAGACTTGACTTCCAAGACCCAGAGCCTGGAAAAGCCTGGGTGTTCTGTGCTAAATTTTGTTTGCCCCCAGGACACAGGGAAATCAGGTTCCCAAGTCCCAGCTCAGCAGAAGCCCCTGGAAGGCCAATCAGCTGCCAAGGTACCAGAAACCAAGGCTGTGTGCTTGGCTGTGGCCTGGTCCTTCAGGGCAAGGTGTCTATAGGGCCAGGCACCTTGGGGACCCACAGTATTGCCAGCCTGAGCTATAAACATAAGACACTCAGCACGGCAGCCCAGGTACACAACAAGGGCGGGCGGAAAGGGAGAGTGGAAGTGAGTGTGTATATAGCAAAGACCAGTGTACACAAGGTATCGTGCACACGTACACACTCTGTCATCACGGGGGAGCCCGCCTGCCTGTGCTGATGTGATGCATTTGTGTACAAATCTGTGCACTAAGGATACAGTGGAAATGAGATGGCAGGAAGGCGAAGAGAAAGGTTGCTGGTGGGACAGAAGACGAGGTGGAGTGGGTGGCCATCTCTGCCAGTGGGTCAGGCCACCGTACTATTCTGCTCTGGGCATTGCTGTGCCTTCCTTTTCCTTCTAGGGTCTGGGAGGTGACACCAGAGGCCAAAGGAGTCCCAAGGTGAGGTTAAGGGAGGTGGTTCCCAACACCACCACAGGGTGGCACCGGAGACCGCAGCTGGCCTCTGTCATGAGGCACTGGGGATGCCTGGGGGCTGACCTTGCTGCTGGGGCCCTCATCTTCAGGCCCAGGTTGGTCTGGGCATATGTTTTGCCCTCTGGGAGTCTGCTGCTGCCAGCCCATGCCCTGATTTAGTAGCATTCCCTCCACAGGCATCACACTCCTCCTATGAGCCCGCCCCTCCTCCCCGGGTGTGAGTGTGCCGGTGCTGTCCCACCAGTGGCAGGCTGGAGCAGGGTGGAGATTCTAGGAAAGAGGAAAGGCCTTCCTGGAGTTCAGGCTGGAAGGGCTGACGGAAACACAGGGGCCCAAAGGAGGAAAGCCATTCGCCCAAAGTCACATGGCTGGGCTGGGGCCCGCAGATGCTCCTGTGCCTGGCCTCTGCCACGCAGGGGCTGACCAAGAACAAAGAGAAGCACAGCCACTGAAGACGCAGTGCCCTACTCGTCCCAACTGTGTCCTCAGTGCAGGTCACTGAATAGCTGCCCAATAAACATTTACTGAATATTTGGTGTCACTGCCTATCTCCAGAGCAGCCTCCCTGGAGCCTCAAGTTTCTGGCTTACCAGGTCTCTTATGTTTACTGCCCTTAAAAGTATCCCACACCTGCTCCTCATGAGGTGGGAATCACCTGGAGAAGGGGTGCCCTGGTGGCAGAGGGAGGTGCCCGCAGCCTGCCTGCTGCCACTTCAGTTCTCACCCAGATCTGAATGACCGCTCTGCTCTACACCTGGCTTCATTTCCTTATCCCTCCATCCAGTCAGCAAGCACACACTGAGCATCTGTCTTGCTGGTCACAGGCTCCAGAAACTCACAGCCTTGCCTGGGAACTCAATGACACTGTCAGAGACAGCAGCATGCAGGTACCAAGGGAGCTGGCGGTGCAGTGCTCAGGAGTGCTGTGGGCTGGTGTCAGAGCAGGCTGCTTGGAAGAGGCTGGGCTTAGGGAGGCATCAGGTGGAGGGGCCTGCCTTTCTTCCTGAAACATCTCACTTGCTTCCAATACAAGGGTCTTCTGTGATCCTTGCCTTCCCTGCTGAGTGCTGTCTTTGGCTGCATTCTCTCTGCCCAGCTGTCTCATGGGAGGCTCTGTCCCTGGACCTTCAGTCCTGGGCACTGGGCTGCCAGGTAGGAGGTACCTGGGGGTGCCACTTTCTGTTCTCTTTCTTAGTGCCAGACTGGTCTCAGTTTCATGAGGGCCCCTCCCTCTGCTGGCTCTCCAAACCATTTCAAGGTGCCCAGCTCTCACCCAGCTCTGGGCCTTTCTCTCCACAGCATTTGTCATATGGTGGCCCATGGAGCCTCAAACCAGAGGCAAAAACATAAGGGTCAAACACTTAGGGGGATGTTGGCCCATCAAACAGCATCAGAGCCTTTTACCTTCTCACGGGAACACGGACATGTAGGGTGTGGTGTTTCCCAATGGATTGGAGCACAAGCGTCGCCCCTCCTGCCCTAGATCCCTCTCACAGAACTAATAGTTAGTGGTATACATCTGACAAACTGTCTTGTAGCACATCCACACTTGGAGTTCTCACCATAACCCCGACACCTGCCTGTTCCAACTCTGTCTGCCACCTTTCCTCCAAAGCCCAATCCCCCTGGTTCCTCCACCACCACCACCACCACCATCTGTCCACTCTTCCAGCTCAGAATCTCACTCATCTTTGATTCTTCCTTCTTTATCTCTTGGGCCAAGGCTGCTGTCGAATCTTGTTGACTCTTCCCATTCAATATCTTATCAACTTACGCCAAGTGTTACCGTTGTAGTAGATTCTAGACCCTCTCTTCTTTGTTTGGTCTCTGTCCCCCTTTAGTCACCCTGTCCATTGTCACCTAGTTAACTTTCACTGTGTAGACATGACCACTCCCTTTCTCCTAGAGCAGCCATGACTCCCCTACTGGCTGTTGGGTCATGCAATCTGACCTTCAAGGCACCTGTCATGCAACTTCACCTTGGGCTTGGTCAGCTTGCCTTCCTTGCTGTCCCTGCCATCCAAGTTGATGCCTACTGCAAACTCATGCTGTTCCTCCCACCAGGAGTGCCTTCCTCCATTCC